CGACGACTCCAGTTTAACAGGCAAACAAAGGAAGATGTGGCTCGCTGGTTTAACATCAGCTAAAAACCTCATTGCACAGAGGTGGATCCCCCACATAATCTAAGTGTACGACATTGGCTGCATGTCACTGCATGACATAGTTATGTTAGAATTGGCCACAGCCGGGATTAATAAAGTTAAACATCTGCTCTCGAGACATGGTAACGATTTGTTGTGATGTGACGAAAAGATTGGAACAAATGCTATGAGGAACATCTTACAGGCGAACATTCTTTTCTCTCTCTTTTTTTTGTTTTATTTTTGAAATGTCATCCTTTGCACTGAATCCTATTTAGTAAATAGTATAAAAGTATGTACAGAAAACGGGGAAGGATGGACCAGTGGGACGGGGAGGGATGGGGTGGGTAAGGAGGTTGTTGGTTTTGTCCTTCAGTTCTGTAATGTGAAAAAGTGCTGCTTAACAGGAAACAAATAAACTTGATCACAGTTGTTTTCATGCCAGATTGACATCTCTCTCATTAGACTGGAACTATGTCTGTCTGTCTGATAGTTTCTCTCTCTCTCTCTCTCTCTCTCTCTCTCTCTCTCTCTCTCTCTCTCTCTTTCTTTTTCTTTCTTTCTTTTGCTTCTCTCTCTCTCTCCCTTTCTCTCTCTCTCTCTCTCCCCCTCTCTCTCTCTCCCTCTCTCTCTCTCTCTCTTTCTTTTTCTTTCTTTCTTTTGCTTCTCTCTCCCTCTCTCTCTTTCTCTCTCTCTCCCTCTCTGTCTCTCTCTCTCTCCCTCCCTCTCTCTCTCTCTCTTTCTCTCTCTCTCTCTCTCTCTCTCTCTCTCTCTCTCTCTCTCCCTCTCTCTCTCTCTCTCTCTCATTCTCAGGTTTATCATTATAGTAATGGCGACTCAGTATCTCAGCAGTTCAGTCACTTTTCTTTTAAAGATGAACCGGTGTATTTAATAATAAACTATAAATGTGACGAAGAGAAGCTCCAGTTTCATCACAACCACCACAAACGAATCCTCAACATCCCAAATTCTGAACTACAAACAGAGACAGAGCTGAACATGAGCTGAAACAATAGCACAGGACTAAAATCAGGACTGAAATCTAATGAATGTTCTGCATTGTGTGCTCAGCATTACAGGTTTCTGACTGTGTGATGCTGATTGTATTTGGAAATGTTTAGTTTAGTGAATTCACTTTTAAGGCATTTGTAAAATGAAGCCCTTTGGCAGCTGGATTCGTTTTATCTGGGAGCTGCTGTAATCTGAGTGATTATTAATGAGTTCTGTGATTTTAATCTAGTATGAATCTGTAATGTTTGTAGTAGTAACTCTGAGCTCTCTCAGTAACAGCAGTGGAGTTAGTAGCAGTAATGCTGTGCTGTCCCAGGACTATACTGTAATAACAAAATCAGGTAATAGAAAATGCCCCCATTTGTTTTCTTTTTCTGTCTCCTGAAGACAAAGCTCTCAGCTAGAATGGAGTTTGATTTTCAGTTTGAGTTTCAGTTCCTTAATCCTCAAGTTTATGATAGGACTACTGAAATCCACAGCATTTCTCTTTGGGGGTGATTTGGGGAAATTAGGACGTATTTCAGTTTGTTATTGATGGCAGTGTTATAGCAGTGTGGATGCTACAAGGCTAGTCTGTTAACAAACACTTTGTTTTATCTAAAGGTAAAAACAACATTCAAATGAAACTTTAGAGAAATAATGAATCCTGTGTCAAAGTACAGAGCAGGCCTCAGGGAGGCTGGAGCTCCTGCCTCTTTGTTCTCAGCTTTCTCTCTGGTTCAGCACAGTTTATGGAGATTTCCCCTCAGTTACTCTGACCTGTCTCAGATGGACTCATCACCACAGCACTGTAATCCCACCAATAATCCACTGATAATCTCCTTTAGAGAGCAGGAGTTTGTTCCAGGCTCTGTGGAGCTTTATAACAGAGTTATAACTCAGTGATTCCTGCAGTTAGAGATCATCCTGAGTAACAGTCTGTATGCTGGAAAGTGGAGTTCACATCACTGTTTAGTACTAAAGATAGAAATTTACAGTGTTAGAAAAACCCTTAGCACTGTGTTTAGTTTCCTCTGAAACATTATTAGATTGTTTCTCTTGATCGAAGTCTTTGCAGTAGTTTTGTTTTTTTAAGATTTTTAGATTCACTTTAATGGATATCGTATATTTTGTATTGTTTTAACCATTTGTGTGTTAAAAGCACTTTCAGTTTAAGAAAAGTACATTATAAATTCAAGGCATTAATATTACTATTATTATTATTATTATTAATAATTATAATAATGATGATAATAATAATAATAATAATATGTTGTATGTGAAATTCATCTTCATGTTGCCTTTTTTGAGCTCCTGTCAGTGCACAGGCTCACTCCATAAAATAGTCAAAATGTTGTAAAACCTATTTTTTTACACCTTTACTAAAGTACAGTGAATATCTGAAACTATGAAAGACAGTTACTAATCTATTGCTCTTATTCATACAGACATTACCTCATAATCTGGGGCCTAGTAAAGTGTGTTCACAGCCTCTTCAATGCTGTACGGAACATTCAGAGTGAATCCTGATCTGAGCTGAACTGAGTTCAGGCTACACGACTCATAAAGGTTCAGTGGTTCAGAACAGAGGAATCAAACTGGGTTCCTTCCAGACCACAGCTCTGCAGAGTTTAGTGTTCCTCCTTATTAAACACACCTGATTCACCTGATCAGCTCATTAACAAGTTCTTCATCAGCTGAATTCAGAGAGCTAGAAGATGGAGAACACTGATCTCTGCAGAGCTGAGAGCCTGAAGGAACCCACTTTATAGAACGTCTTCTCTCTAGAACGCTCTAGAACACTAAGGAGATTCATCACTACAACTACAATCAACTCCTCAACACCCCAAATTCTGTAATACAGATAAAGACAAAGCTCAACATGAGCTTAAACATTAGCACAGGACTAAAATCAGGACTGAAATCTGGATGAATGATCTGCAGTGTGTGATCAGCATCAGATAACAGGGTTCTGACTGTGTGATGTTGATTTTTTATTGAAATCTTTAGTTTAATGAATTCAGTTTTATGGTATGTGTGTGTTCGAATGCAGAAACATTGTTTCTTAGACAAACAAACTATTCAAATAATTGTATAAGATTTCTCATTCAGAAACCATGTTATTACATTTTAAAGTCAGAAAATCCAAAGCTTATAGAATCACCTTTAAAAATTCCACTCATTTACATCTGGGAGAACATCTGTTACTGTATTTCTGAACACGGTACAGTCAGTCAGTCTGTTTAATCAGGATGTGAGAGGTTTAAACAGTCTGTTACTGTATTTCTGAACACAGTATTGTTGTATTATCTTGGTCAGTCTGATACAGACAGTACAGTCAGTCAGTCAGTCTGTTTAATCAGGATGTGAGAGATTTAAACAGTCTGTTACTGTATTTCTGAACACAGTATTGTTGTGTTATAGAGCTTGTGGGTTGTTGTCTCTCTCTCTCTCTGGTTCTCTCTATGGAGATTTTCCCTCAGTTATTTTGATCTGTCTCAGATGTTCACATAACCACAGCACTGAAACACCACCAGTAAACCACTGATAATCTCTGTTAGAGAGCAGGAGTTTATTCGAGGCTCTGTGGAGCTTTTAAAGAGAGTTATTACTCATGCAGTTAGAGATCATCCTGAGTAACAGTCTGTACACTGGAAAGTGGAGCTCACATCACAGTTTAGTACTAAAGATAGAATTTCTCACTGTGTTTGATTTGTTTAGGTTTTTAGATTAACATTTATGGACACTTGATATTTTGTTTTTTCATGCTTTTAACCATATGAAGTGCTTTAGGTTTAAGAAAATAACTTAATCAATGAAATGTGCTGTTATAAATTTAATTGTGCTATATCAAGTCGAGGTTTTTATCGTCATTTTATCTATGTACAAGTACACAGTGGAGCGAAATTACGTTCCTCCAGGACCAACATGGTGCAACATGGAACACAATAATACAATAATTATGATAAATGAAACAGACATCAGACACATTAAACAGACGGGACAGTGCAGCACAGACACAGCACTCATTTCTGAGCATGAGGCAGTGAGGATAGGGTGCAAAGATATTTAACATGCTGTGATATGTATTTATACGCAGTCAGAATATAACATACGTGAGAACGGCAGTTACTGAGGTAGAAATATACAGTACAGGTAGAGGATGATGTATATGAAATTAAGTTTATTTTACCTTCATGTTGCCTTTTTTGAACTCCTGCCCCACAAAATGTCTGTGACCAGGCCCGCTCCACAAAATACACAGCCACACTGTTGTAAAACCTAATTTTTGACATGTGCTGATTCCTGGGTGAGTACACTGAGCACATTCACAGTGTCTTCAATGCTGTACTGAACATTCAGAGTGAATCCTGAGCTGAGCTGAACTGAGTTCAGGCTACACGACTCATAAAGGTTCAATGGTTCAGAACAGAGGAATCAAACTGGGTTCCTTCCAGACCACAGCTCTGCAGAGTTTAGTGTTCCTCCTTATTAAACACACCTGATTCACCTGATCAGCTCATTAACGAGTTCTTCATCAGCTGGATTCAGAGAGCTAGAAGATGGAGAACACTGATCTCTGCAGAGCTGAGAGCCTGAAGGAACCCACTTTATAGAACATCTGCTCTCTAGAACGCTCTAGAACACTAAGGAGATTCATCACTACAACTACAATCAAATCCTCAACACCCCAATATCTGTGATACAGATAAAGACAGAGCTCAACATGAGCTTAAACATTAGCACAGGACTAAGATCTGGATGAATGTTCTGCAGTGTGTGATCAGCATCAGATAACAGGGCTCTGACTGTGTGATGTTGATTCAGTGTAACTGGGATTGTTTAGTGAATTCAATTTTCACACTGTAAACAAGAAATAGCACATACTGAGAATGTGAAAGGCATTTACTGATCTCTTTCTCTTGTTCCTGTAATTACACTGGCCTGATTAGAGACCCGATGAGACAAACAACAGAGAACCCTGAACCTGTGCGCATACAAAGTACCATCATCCGGAGCCCTGAAGCTGTGCAGAATTCTAGGTGAGTACCCTGAGCGCATGCACAGCGTCTTCAATGCTGTACTGAACATTCAGAGTGGAATCCTGAGCTGAATTCAGAGAGTAAGAAGATGGAGAACTTATGTCTGCAGAGTTGAGAGCCTGAAGGAACCCGATTAGAAAAAAGACTTCTCTCTAGAACACGTACTCCACAATTACTGCCCCCTTGGTGAAGATGAGCAAAAATAATCTAAATAAATGTACAGTTTGGTGAATTATCATAACCTCACACTGAAAAAATGAGAAAAATCCAGCCTTTAATTGAAGAAAATGTATTCTGAGAAAAAAATCCCTCATTAAGAAATAATTATTTTTATGAAATCCACGTGTCACAATTACTGGCACCCCTATAAAGTCTCAGAAACAAAGTGTAACGGAAGCATTTATTCCATTTATTCTTCACATTTTTAGGTTGATCAGAGTTTCTGGGAATTTCAAGCAGTGATCCATGACTTCCTGTTTCACTGGGATAAATATATGAGGTGACACAGGTCACATTTGGAATCGCTCCCTATTACAGCAATGGTGCACTATGTAGTGTCTCAGCCACTCTGTAGTTCAAAATCTCTCCTGTAAATTTCACTCCCTGTGCAGTTCACTATTGAATACCCATAATGCATCACACATTGTCGTGTACAGATGTACACAACAAATTCCAATGTATACCATAATGCATCAGTGTTTTACTAATGTCATAGAAGAAGAAGCTGTGAGACTTTGAAGTTAGACGTGTTAACATATGCATACAGACAGGAGAGGGCGCTACACACCAAATTTATCTACAACTGTTAGTCAATGTAATTTTAACTAACAGAAAGCCCTCTCTGTTTTCTCTGTGTCTCTCTCTGTGTGTCTCTGTTTTCTCTGTGTCTCTCTCTGTGTCTCTCTGTTTTCTCTATGTCTCTCTGTGTGTCTCTGTTTTCTCTGTGTCTCTCTCTGTGTCTCTCTGTTTTCTCTGTGTCTCTCTCTGTGTCTCTCTGTTTTCTCTGTGTCTCTCTCTATGTCTCTGTTTTCTCTGTGTCTCTCTGTTTTCTCTGTTTTCTCTATGTCTCCCTGTGTGTCTCTGTTTTCTCTATGTCTCTCTGTGTGTCTCTGTTTTCTCTATGTCTCCCTGTGTGTCTCTGTTTTCTCTATGTCTCTCTGTGTGTCTCTGTTTTCTCTATGTCTCCCTGTGTGTCTCTGTTTTCTCTATGTCTCTCTGTGTGTCTCTGTTTTCTCTATGTCTCTCTGTGTCTCTCTCTGTTTTCTCTATGTCTCTCTGTGTGTCTCTGTTTTCTCTATGTCTCCCTGTGTGTCTCTGTTTTCTCTATGTCTCTCTGTGTGTCTCTGTTTTCTCTATGTCTCCCTGTGTGTCTCTGTTTTCTCTGTGTCTGTCTCTGTGTCTCTCTCTGTGTCTCTCTCTCGCTGTGTCTGTTTTCTCTGTCTCTCTGTGTCTCTGTATTCTCTGTGTCTCTCTCTGTGTCTCTCTCTCACTGTGTCTGTTTTCTCTGTCTCTCTGTGTCTCTGTTTTCTGTGTCTCTCTGTGTCTCTGTTTTCTCTGTGTCTCTGTCCCTCTGTGTCTCTGTTTTTTCTGTGTCTCTCTCTCTGTGTCTCTGTTTTCTCTGTCTCTCTCTCTCTCTCTCTCTGTCTCTGTTTTCTGTCTCTCTCTCTCTCTCTCTGTGTCTCTCTCTCTCTGTGTCTGTTTTCTCTGTCTCTCTCTTTCCTTCTTGATCAGAGTTTTGCGGTACTTTTGTTTTTTACATTTGTAGGTTAATTTTTATTGTTTTAACCATCTGTTTAAAGTGCTTTGGGTTTAAAAACACACCATAAACTGATTTATTATTATTATTATTATTATTATTATTAGTAGTAGTAGTAGTATATGTAGTAGTAGTCAAATTAATATGCTGTATATGAAATGTTAAGTTTAATTCACTTTCATGTTGCCCTGTGTTTCCTCTTTGAGCCTCTGCCCCCCAAAATGCCTGTGCACCAGCTCACTACACAAAATATACTCAAAAACTAAAACCTCATTCTGAATATATAAAAGACATTTTCTAATCTCCTTCTCTTTTTCAAACAGAACCATAACGTATGACCCGAGAACTGAGTAAGTACACTGAGCACATTCACAGTGTCTTCAATGCTGTACTTAACATTCAGAGTGAATCCTGAGCTGAGCTGAACTGAGTTCAGGCTACACGACTCATAAAGGTTCAATGGTTCAGAACAGAGGAATCAAACTGGGTTCCTTCCAGACCACAGCTCTGCAGAGTTTAGTGTTCCTCCTTATTAAACACACCTGATTCACCTGATCAGCTCATTAACAAGATCTTCATCAGCTGAATTCAGAGAGCTAGAAGATGGAGAACACTGATCTCTGCAGAGCTGAGAGCCTGAAGGAACCCAGTTTATAGAACGTCTTCTCTCTAGAACCCTCTAGAAAACACATAACGAGTTTCATCACCACAACTACAATCAAATCCTAGCTCAACATGAGCTTAAACATTAGCACAGGACTAAAATCAGGACTGAAATCTGGACTAAAATCAGGACTGAAATCTGGATGAATGTCTTGCAGTGTATGATCAACATCAGATAACAGGGTTCTGACTGTGAGAAGTTAATTGTTTATTGAACTCTTTAGTTTAATTAATTCAATTTCATGGTATGTGCGTTGGTCTGTAGAAACGTTGTTTCTGAGACAAATGAACTATTCAAATAATTGTATAAGATTTCACATTCAGAAACCAGGTTATGACATTTTAAACTCAGAAAATCCAAAACTAAGAAAATCACCTTTAAAGATTCCACTGATATACTATATCTGGCGCCTGTTTAATCAGGATGTGAGAGGTTTAAACAGTCTGTTACTGTATTTCTGAACACAGTATTGTTGTATTACCTTGGTCAGTCTGATACAGACAGTACAGTCAGACATTACATGTGTGATTTCTTAACAGGCTCTGCTCTCTTTGTACTTCATTCACTTGCATTGGCTCACTTATCAAAGAATGGTAAAGATCTGCAAATATAAAAGACAGTTCCTAATCTGCTTGTCTTGTTCATACAGAAGCGTTGCCCAGGGGGACCCACAGGAGACCACCCCTTTGAACAAGGGCTCCCAAAACACTGAGTGAGTACACTGAGCTGATGGAGAGTGTCTTTATTGCTTTATTGACTGTACAAAGTGAAATCCTGAGCTGAACTGAACTGAGATCTGGCTACACGACTCATAAAGCAGAATCAGAATCTTTATTTGCCAATAAATATAGGAGAATATACTGTATCTAATCATAAAATAGACAGTACACAAACAAACTGCAAGTAAGGTACATATATACAGTATGTACAGCTAAGAGAAACGAGTGGCAAATAAAAATGTAAATGTAGTTTTATTTTTACTGACAATTAGGATAAAGAACATATCGGTCAGTCTACAGACAGTCAGTCAGTCAGTCAGTGTGTGTCTGTTTTCTTCACAGGCTCTGCTCTGTCACTGTCTTTACTTCATTCACTCACACTTTACTTTTTTTGGACTGAATGTAAAATAATTGCTTATCAGTTATTTCAGTTTGTTTACGATGGCAGTGCTGTAGCAACATAGACACTACAAGGCTACTCTGCTATCAGACACTTAGCTTTGTCTACAATCAGAAGAATAAAAAATTATTATTAGTAGTATTAGTATTATTATTATCATACAAAATTAAGTTTCATTAACTTTCATGTTGCTGTGTTTTTGATCTCCTGTGTTACGGGATGGCTGGCACCCAAGTGCAGAGAGGAAAACCCGTGAGAAGGGGTCTGAAATGTATCAATGACATGATGGAGTGCAAAGGCTGAGATAGAAAAGTAAAATGAAAGATAACCAGAAAACCAGAAGACACTTCTTCAGTGATTATGCGAGGAAGATCAGCTTTATGTTTCACCTGTTTGCTCTTTGTGGAGCAAACACTTTTTGTGTGGCTTGGGGGCTTTGTTTTCTTGTTTAAGCCTTCATTTTGTGTTTTAAGTAGTTTTGGGACAGTTTATTCCTTTTTAGCCCTCTTTTTCTTCATTCTGATGTTTTGGGGCAGTTGCTTTTTTTAGTCCTCCTTTCTTTTCTTGAGCGACACTAAGTGCTGTACCAGTCACCCCTCTATAAAGGTGTAACAAAGAGCTGCTGTTTGCCACAGCCTTAAGTAGAGGAGTCCACAGGCGTGCCAGGTTGGCCCTAATCAGCCTGAGGGCTTCTGGGAATTGGAGTTCCCTGAACTGGCGGTGCCTTGCCGCCATTGTAAAACCTAGTTTTTGACACATTTACCAAAGAACAGTGAAAATAAAACCACTGAAAATAAAAAGCACAGTTCTAATTTCTTTCTCTTCTTCCTACAGACTCCAAAACCTGCATTAGTAGGCTCCTTGGTGAGTAAACTGAACACATGAACAGCCTCTTAAATGCTGTACTGAACGTTCAGAGTGAATCCTGATCTGAGCTGAACTGAGTTCAGGCTACATGACTCATAAAGGTTCAATGGTTCAGAACAGAGGAATCAAACTGGGTTCCTTCCAGACCACAGCTCTGCAGAGTTTAGTGTTCCTCCTTATTAAACACACCTGATTCACCTGATCAGCTCATTAACAAGTTCTTCATCAGCTGAATTCAGAGAGCTAGAAGATGGAGAACACTGATCTTCATATAACCCTGTTTAGTGTGAACCCATCTTTTAGATAACTGATCTCACTGTTCAGCACTTTCCTCACTCCCAGACACTGACCGTTATAGGGAGGCCTGGCCTGAGGAGATCAAATGCCCACTATCAGAGGAAGTATGGGAGGAAAGCCTGTGCAGGACACCATGTTCTTCTGTAAACTCTTGATGTAGGTTAGCTCAGTTCAAAGTGCTTCACAGGCTTCATTATTTGAAAACTAGATTGAGTAAAAAGCGCTGTGTCCCCTCTGAGTGGGCAGAGAGCTCTGTGGCTCATTCCCTTTCCTCATGCCCAGTGCTCCACAGCTTCTGGACTGGTGTCTCTGAGTGGATTCTGTGGATATACATGAACCCTGACCCATGATGTAATCTGTGGATACTTCCAATCACTGTCCACCTTCTCATATGTTACAGTACAGGTTAGAACAGCATGGTCTCAGCAGAAGAGATTAGGGAGGGTGGGGAGTGGTATTAGGGAGGGTGGGGCAAAGAAAAGTTGGGGTGGTATTAGAGAGGATGGGGCTAAGGAAATTGGGGGTGGTAATAGGGAGGGTGGGGCTAAGGAGGGTGGGACTAAGGAAAGTGGGGGGTGGTATTTAGGAAGGGTGGGTCCCAGGAGGGTGGGGTTAAGGAGGAAGGGGTGGCATTAGGGAGGGTGGGGCTAAGGTGGGGGTGGTATTAAGGAGGGTGGGTCTGAGGAGGGAGGAATGGTATGAGGGAGGGTGGGTCTAAGTGGGGGTGGGATTAGGGATTGTGGTGCTAAAGAGGAAGGGATGCTATTAGGGAGAATGGGACTAAGGAAAGTGGGGGGTGGTATTTAGGAAGGGATGCTATTAGGGAGAGTGGGGCTAAAGAGGGTGCTCAGTTCCAGTTCACGCACACCTGAAGCTCAGTGCTAGATACACTGCTGTGTGTTCTTCATTTGCGTTTATGCTGGATTTAGTGGACACTGAGTGTCCACTTCACTCGGAGATCGACAAGCTTTGGAATTTTTCCTTTTGAAAAATGATTTTAATCATTTATTCTTTATGGAAAAATAAAATGTTTTACATTGACCTAAAATATGAACATTACTAAATAGTATTTGATACTAGAATATTGATGTTTATTTTTGCATATAATTACAATGTAATTAAATGTTGTTCCATTCCTGTCTGATGTAGGATTCTAGCTGTCCTGGGTCTTCTTTGGGTCTTCTTTGCTGGATTTTTCATTTCATGATGTTCCAAATGTTTTCTATTGGTGAAAGGTCTGGACTGCAGGCAGGTCAGTTCAGCACCTGGACTCTTCTTCTGTGAAGCCATGCTGTTGTGATGGATGCAGTATGTGGTTTATTGTCTTGCTGATATATGAAGGCTTTCCCTGAAAGAGACGCTGTCTGGATGGGAGCAGATGTTGTTCTAAAATCTCTATATACTGTTCAGCATTGATAGAGCCTTTCCAGATGTGTAAGCTGCCCACACCATAGGCACTAATGCAGCCCCAGACCATCAGAGATGCAGGCTTTGAACTGTGATCTGATAACAAGCTGGATAGTCCATCTCCTCTTGAGTCCGCAGGATACGGCGTCCATGGTTTCCAAAAAGAATTAGAAATTTTGATTCATCTTACCACAGGACAGTTTTCCATTTCTCCTTGGTCCATTTTAAATGAGCTGTGGCCCAGAGAAGACGGCTGTGTTTCTGGATCGTGTTGGCATATGGCTGCTTCTTTGCATGATACAGCTTTAACTTGTATTTGTGGACTGCGCGGTGAACTGTGTTCACAGACACTGATTTCTGGAAGTGTTTGAGGCCATGCAGTGATTTCCAGTACATCCAGTATTGACGGACAGCCTTGTCCCTTGCGTACAGGAATTTCTCCAGATTCTCTGAATCTTCTGATGATATTATGTACTGTAGGTGGTGGAATGTCCAAACTCTTCGCAATTTTACATTGAGGAACTTTTTTCTGAAACTGTTCAATTTTTAGACAGTTTTTCGCAGTTTGGTGAACCTCTGCCCATCTTTGCTTCTGAGAGACTCTGTGTAACGAGCAAACAACGCTTGCGGTCTGAAAACACAATTGAGGCTTTACTGTTAGAATCAGAATCCAAGTTTGTAGTCACAAAACAGGCAGGGGTCAATTCCAAAATGAGAAGCAAATACAAACAGATGATCATCCCCAAGGGCAAACAATCCAAGAGGGTTAAGCAGAATGGCAGCGTCAAGGAAAACAGGCAAAAAGGTCAAAAACAGGAGTCAAACCAGAAAGGCAAACAGTCCAAAGGGGAAAGGCAAAAGGCAGAGTCAAAAAACAGAGAGCAATGGTCATAAACAGAATACAGGCAAATAGTAGAACGCTCAGTAGATCACAAAAGATACAATTTCGTCTTGGAGCTTGACGGATGCGTGACACTCTCTAAAATGCTCTTTTTATACTCAGCCATGTCAGTTAGTTGCAAATTGCTCCTCCAGCTGTTTTTTATTAGTACCACTTACTTTTCCAGCCTTTTGTTGGCTCCGTCCCAACTTTTTTGAGATGCGTTCCTGCCATCAAGTTCTAAATGAGTCAGTGTTTTTGATGAAATGGAAAAAGTCTCACTTTCATCATCTGAAATGTGTTCTGTGTTCTATTGTGAACAAAATATGGCTCTTTCAGATTCGCAAATCATTGCATTCTGTTTTTATTTACATTTATTTACATTTTACACAGCGTCCCAACTCTTTTGGAATTAGGGTTGTACATTCTTTTCTCAATTTCATAGATATATCTGATAATGAACCTGTTTTCTTTCTTGCTGTCTGCTTCATGTGTACATCAAATAGGCTTTGTTTAATTATTTCCACCTAACATTTCTTTATTGTTACATTGTTATATATTATCTCGTTTTTTAATTTTTACTTTTATATTATATGTATATAAATCATTTTTGCAATGCTTTGAAAATACAAATGTAATTTTGTCATATTAACAAAGCAAACTTGACCTTGAAAGAGAAACTGGTTGATTAAGTTTATGCAGTAGGTCACAAAAAACCACCAGAGGACAAAAATATAGTAATGATCACTGTCTAAAAATCTCACTCTGTGATCAGTTACAGGTGTTCAGATTCATTTATTGATCGTCTGAATAAATCCTGCTCAGTGTGTAAAGACATTAAGACTTTAAAGTGTATAAACTGTTACTGTTTTAAAGGAACTCTTGACTGTTAAGGCTTGTATGCTTTATAACAGAGTAATATTAAGTGTCCAGTACTTCCTCTTCTGGGTAATGAAATAAAAAAAATGAAAAAATGCTTGGTTTAATCTAAATATTTTAGCAGTATTGAACATGTACACCATACTGAGGCCTAAATGTCTAATCAGTCTG